TGCTGCCACCCATGACTGGCCTCTTGTGAGTGAGCTCCCCCAATTAATCCAAATAATATTTATTTACTACCAAGGTGGCATGGGACCCTCTTTATTCTGTATCTCAGTATTATCTCAGAGGGTCTGCCACCCTATAATTGGCATAATCAGGGCAGAACAGATCTGCCCTCTTACAGCTGGCATAATCAGCAATAGTCTGTCCCCTACAAATCTGGTGTCCTTACACCCCCATCTTATCTGCTATCATAAAAACTGATGGCAATAACTTAGCTCCATACTGTAGCAACAAACTAATAGTTGGAGAAGTGGTGGGAGAAATGACTCATGCAGAATTTGTGAGTGAACCATGTACAGCTTTCCTATCTTTCTCTACTCATGAATGAATATACTTACCGTAAGGCAAGCATTGTGCTGACTGTTGGGTATACAAATACATAAGCAAAGACAATCCCTGCACATAAGAAGCTTCCATTCTAATAGGTGACCAGAGAGGGGTACTTTGGCACTGACAGTCACAAGAGAGGCTGAGGCCATAGGGGAATATATTGACACACTATTCAGGAACAATGACAAAGTTGATTTGATCATGGTTCCAGAGCTGAAGATGGTGGAGGAAAGGGTGGAGGTGGGAGGGGATTGCACAGGGCAGTAAGGAGGTTGGTGAGGCTGTTTGTGGAGACAGGCCAGCAAATAAGGAGAAAAGCACGTAGAGCTTTGTTGAAAAAACGGGCCAGGTTAATCACCAATCAGGACAGTGGGCCTCTTGGGTAGAAGTTATGAAGATGAAGGGAATGAAATCATCAGGGCATGGTCTCTGGTGGGAGCAGGGTGATTGGCAAGGCCCTGTAAGTCCTTTTCTCCCTTGATGCCTCATGCAGTTCCCCTTACATGTAGCTCTCTGCTGGGATCTGAAGGTAGGTGACTTTTTAGCCAAGAATTTCTTTCTGTCCTGAGGAACCATACTCCCTTAAACTGCTACTGTCCTTGTTAACTTTTTCAGCACTTGTCTGCATTCATTTCTACTACCATTGGCCACTGCAATGGCTGTCATGTCTGTGTTTCCCAGACTCCCAAGTTTGTGATTTGGACTCATTCACCTTTGAATACTGTTTGCCTAAGATAGAAAAGAACAAATACTATAGACAAGTGGCCATGTGCTTAGAGCCACCATGGATTGGGTGGAGATAGGGCTGCTGGAATTTTTGCCTTATCTCACTCTCAAAGAGACAGCTTTAAGTAGTCCTTCCTTACTTGAAGCTGCAAAGGAAAGAGGTGTGACTTGGTAGCAAAAGACCAGTCATCCACAGTACTCATTAAACTATGACTGTGGCAATTAATTTCATAGTGTTTGGTTTGTGGTTTCTATGACCTTTTAAATGATATGTATATATTTATTGTATTATTATATGTGTCTAAATTTATACTCCTTAGAATTTTGTAACTGCATCCAAGGCCTTGGCTGTCTGTACAGAACATCCTCTAATAAATCTTTTTGTTATATGGTGCGCATGGGTTTCCTCCTTTCCCCTTTCCTAGTATACAGATGCTGGGTTGCCACATAATCATCCATCTAGAAAGGCCTTTGCTGCCAGATGTAGGAACTGATATAGGTGGAAAGAATAATCATGTTTCATTTCAAAACTACAAGAACTCACATAAGAAGAGCTCATTCAAGTTGTTCCAGTGAGTGACCCTAATTCAACCTCATGGTTTGTATGGTTTACCATCTTTTGGCTAAATTTCTAGCCCTTCTCTCTATCTCTTTTTTTTTGGGGGGGGAGGCTAGGCAATGGGGTTATGTGACTTGCTCAGGGTCACACAGCCAGTAAGTGTCAAGTGTCTGAGGCCAAATTTGAACTCAGATCCTCCTGACTCCTGGGCCAGAGCTCTATCCACTCCATCACCTAGCTGGCCCTCTTATCTATTACCTATATCATATGCCCCAGTCTCACTGTGATGAGCTGAATTCCCACATTGCACTATGTATGTATGTTTATGTGATGGATTTTCATTTTACTGGACATTAGACTTCTTTGTACCATAATTTGGAATACTGAGTAGATCAACAGCTATCTATAGGTCAGGGTGACCCAACAATCCTTAAAGTGGCAAGACCTCTGTAACCTCTGTATTGTTTTATTTTGTTTTTGGAAGCAATTCGCATGAATTTTAACTGAATGTCTTGGAAAGAAGCACATTCCGCATGACTTAAGAGAAAAGTAGATCTGGAATTGAAAAGCTAAGATGTATTTAAGAAGACTTTGTTTAGCTAGGCCATGGCTAAAAATATAAAAATGATAAATTCTTGGCAAAGATTATACATAGATTTATAGCTGGAATGGACTCCAGAATACATCAAGTCCAACCCTTCTCATTTTATAGAGGAAGAAACTACACAGAGAGGCTAAACAACTTTCTTAGGGTCACACAGCTAGTAAATCTAAGGCAACACTTGAACTCAGGTCTTCCTAACTCCAAGTCCAGCATTCTATGTACTACACCACAAAGCTACTTCTAAAGAGGACTAGTAAAAACATATTTACCTGCTTACCAAATACAAAAGGCTTTTTAAACTGAAAGGGAATGGAGAAAACTGTACACATAGTTCTGATAAACCTACTATCAAAGAAAGCAACAAGCATGTACTACACAGGAGGAAAATCAGATGAATCAGTAAAAATAATGGGAGAAATATTTAAAGACAGCCAGTGACAAAACCCACAGCCTCATACACACACACACACACACCACACACACACACACACACACACACACACACACTGAGGCAATTTTGACTTATAAAGCTCACAAAGACAGAGGGATGGGCTAGAGTTTGTCTCAGAAAAGGTATGCCTTATCCAAATGGAACAAAACAGAAAAAAATGAGTATATTAGGAAAATACACTTTTAAAGAAATCCAAGATCCTGAGGGGAGAAGAATGGCAGAGAGCACTTGATCATAATTAGTTAAGGTAAAGACATTTTAAAGTACACCAGAGTGAACAGGTTGGATTGCTGCTGGGGAACTGCAGTTCTTTCAATGAAAAAACACTCAGCTTTCAAAAACTAATATTCTTCTGCTGATATTTTATGGCTGTGAGTAATGGATCATTACAGTCATTAAAGAACTAAAATTAAGGATCGCCCAAATAGTGAACACATGGTGGACACAAGCTGGCACACTACAAATGCAGAAGTGTGAGGGATGTTGTCAAAGGAATAGACGATCTAAAAAGATAGTCTGGTTACTTAGTAAGAACAAAAGACAATCGATAGCTCCGATAGCTCCATTGTTATCCTTGAGATATCAAGAGAGCTTAAGGAAGTCCCCCAACATACTGAACTGCAGCAAATCTGTTGGAATGTGTGGACAAAAATCCCACAGGATGAGCAGGCATGGATCAAATGTAATCTACATCACTCAAGTGAATACCCATATCACTGAGATTATAGGTCCACTGGAGTAAGGGTGTATAATAGCAGAGAGAAAAATTAGAGAAGGAGTCTAGAAAAGTTTGCAATCTGTCATCAGAGTACAATAATGCCAGGGAACTGAACATCTTCTGGTACTTTCTGACAAAAGCCAACAAACTTATGACTTACCTTCATGTTCAATTCATCCTTCAAAAAGTAGAGGAAGCAACAAGGGCAAGTAGTATTCTCGACACAATTTTGACCAAAGGGAAAAATAGTGGCAGAAATAGAAATGACAGGAACCTTGGGAGTGACCACTCTATCCAGGAGTTTGCAATGGAGATAAAAGTGAGACATGAGTCTAATGTATACCTAATATTTTAGGAGAAAAGATTTGTGAAGTTCAGAGAAAGAATACATAGTACTTGATGTTCTAATACATTGAAAGGAAAGTTAGCGCTCTTGAGAATGAGATTCTGAGGAAAGGGTAGAGACTGAAATGGATGAACAATGAACATATCAGTGTAGGCTTTAATAGAGACACATATAGATGATGAAAGCAATGTGAAGTAACGGAGGTTGAATATAAAATTGTAGCATGATCCTATAACAACTATGTCAGGAATGATAATGCAAAGAATGAGCTGAGCCTGGTAGTCAGGGCTCCCGCTGAGGCTGGAGCTAAGGAAAATTTAAAAAGTATTTTAGCTATGCTGGGAGCAAAGGAAGAAAGGACAGGATTGCACCTCTACATGAAGGGCTGATTGTAACAGATAAAGCTGAAGTAAGTGGGTTCTCACTTTGTCCCTCTTTTCTCTTTCAAGAAGAATGTTCTTTGGACTGAAAAGGATGGAACACAAATGGTTAGTAGGGAATGGAAACTGATTAGGTGAGGGTAAGCACCTAGCTACTCTCAATAGGTTCAAGTCACCAGATACAGATGAATGACATCCTAGAATATGAAAAGAACTAACAGATCTCACTAAGCCATATCAATGACATTTGAAATATCTTGAAGAACATGAGAGGAATCTTATGATAGGAGAAGGGCAAACATTCCATTTTTTAGAAAAGTTAAAATGAAGATCAAAAGAACAATATAAATGAAAAAAAATCCCTAAAAGGAATCTGAACCTTGAACAAATGAAAGAGAACAAATGATGCAATATGCCTCTCTTTTCACAGTAGAAAGGTGGGGACTACTAGGGCAGAATATTGTGTATATTGTCAGAGGCAGTCTCTGTATTGGATGTTTGTGCTTAATTGTTTTTCTCAAGGCAATATCCAATTTGGAGAAGAATTTTTTTTTCTAGAAAGGACAGTGATGTAAAGACAAAAGACATAAATACCCATATTTTTAAAAGGTTTTTAAAAGATAAAAGGCCAAATCTGGAAACTAGTGAGTCTGACATATCTCTGGTAAAATTCTAGAACACATTACTAGGGGACACTTTGTGAACAGTTTGAAAAAGAAGCATTATTTAAAGTGAAATTATCTTCATTGCAATAGGTCATACCAGACTAAAATTTTCTTTCTTTCTTTCTTTTATTATGGACTTGTAGATCAGGGTGATGACATATGCCACTTAGATTTCAGCAAAATATTTTAATTTGCTTCAATTCAACAAACATTAATTACACATCTACCATGCACAAGGCCCTTATTTCCAGTATGAATTCTTTGATGTTGAGTAAGGTTTGGTTTCTGGGTAAAGCTTTTGCCACAGTCATTACACTTATAAGGTTTCTCTCCAGAATGAATTCTCTGATGTCGAGTAAGATTTGCTTGCTTGGTAAAAGCTTTACAACATTCATTACACTTAAAGGGCTTCTCTCCAGAATGAATTTTCTGATGTTGAGTAAGGATCACTCGCTTGGTAAAGGCTTTCCCACATTCGTTACATTTATAGGGTTTCTCTCCAGAATGAATTCTTTGATGAATATTAAGCTGTAAAATATAACTATAGGCCTTCTCACATTCATTGCACTTAAATGGTTTCTCTCCAATATGAGTATGCTGATGTTGAGTAAGGTTCGACCGCTTGGTAAAAGCTTTTTCACACTCATTACATTTAAAGGGCTTCTCACCAGAATGAATTTTCTGATGTTGAGTGAGAATTGTCCGTTGGGTGAAGGCTTTCCCACATTCATTGCATTTGTAAGGTTTTTCTCCAGAATGAATTATTTGATGAATATTAAGCTGTGAGACCTGGAAGAAAGCTTTATCACATTCATTACACTTAAATGGTTTTTCTCCAATATGAATAAGTTGATGCTGCGTAAGGTGTGCTCTCTGTGAGAAGGCTTTCTCACATTCATTACATTTATAGGGCTTTTCTCCAGAATGAATTCTCTGATGTCGAGTAAGGTTTGCCCATTTGGTAAAGGCTTTTCCACATTCATTACATTTATAGGATTTCTCTCCAGAATGAATTCTTTGATGAAGATTAAGTTGTGAAATGGAACTATAGGCTTTCCCACATTCATTGCACTTAAATGGTTTCTCTTTAATATGAGTATGCTGATGTTGAATAAGGTGTGGCCTCTGGAAAAAGGCTTTTCCACACTGATTACATTTAAATGGTTTCTCTCCAATATGAGTAAGCTGATGCTGTGTAAGGTGTGTCCTTTGGGTAAAAGCTTTCTCACATTCATCACATTTATAAGGCTTCTCTCCAGAATGAATTCTCTGATGTCGAGTAAGGTTTGCCCACTTGGTGAAGGCCTTCCCACATTCATTACATTTATAGGATTTTTCTCCAGAATGACGGGTATAGTGAAGTTTCAACTCTGAAATATGTCTGAAGGGTTTCTCAAATTCATTATATGTAAAATGTTTCTGTCCTGTGTAGATTCCTGGGCATTTAGTTAGTTGTGAATCATCTCTGAAACACTTTCCATGCATATTATATTTATAGACACTATTTAGTACAGGAACTTTCTGTTGTGTAATGAGGACTGATCTCAAACTGAAGTGTCTCCCAAACTCATTACTTTCAGAGGTTTTTTCCTTACTTAGTGTTTCCTCATGTGTGATCATTACTTGCTTCAAATGATTGTCTTGCTGGCTCTGCTCTCTCACTAATGGGCCTTGAAATTTAAAGGCTTCTCCTAATCTGGAGTCCCAGAAACTATGTCTGAAAGGTCTTTCTATTATTGTCCTCTGAGACAGTTTTTCTACAGAAGTTTCCAACTTTGGAAATGGCTCCTTTGCTTCAGGGTCAGTGTCAAAATCTGAAATATACAAAAAAAAATCTCCTATACTAGAAGAAAATTGTGGAAATAAGAAGGGGAAAAATGTCTATTCTAAAACAACTCATATTTACAACTGTGAGGGTAGTAGTACCAATTTCAGTGATCTTCAGATGAGTAAACTGAGATTCAAAGAAGTTAAGTGATTTTTCTGTAGTCACATTGCCAATAAGCAAATGAACTCAGACTTAATTCAAGTCTCCAAAGTTGACTTCAGAACTCTTTCCCACTACTATGTATATAGACTTTGTATTTTATATACTACAAAAGAAAGAGCTTTGGAAAACTAAAAATGCTAGGAGTTATCCTCATTTGTATTATTCAATACAAGCTTGGAATAAAGAAGAAAGAATAAACAAGGACCTAGGTTTAACAGGAAATGTTGACAAAATATCAAATAGAATACACGGTGGAAGCAGGATAGAATCTAAATTTAAAATCTCCTTATTTCACACCTGGCCCTCTCCACTGTATCTTATTATAGCACTAATATCATCAGATCATGATCCACTAATGCCCTTCATCCTTATGTATAAAATGAATCAAAAAGTAAAGTAAAGAGGAACCTCAAAAGGTGGTGCATTTCTCTTCACAAGATATCTTTAAGCTTATGTTGAATAGTTACATATTACCTATCATAGCAAGGTTTCTTATTCAATAATAATAATAATAATGATAACTAACACTTATAGTGAGCCTATTATGTGCTAAGTGCTTTATGATTATTAACTTGTTTGATCTTCACAACAACCCTGGGAGGTTAGGTGTTATTATCTCCATTTTACAGATAAGGAAACAGAGGTAAACTTTAAATGACTTGCCCAGCATCACATTGCTAGAAAATATCTGAAGCTGCATTTGAATTCAGGTCTTCCTAACTCCAAGCCCAGTACTCTATCCACTTTGCCATCTAGCTGTCCTTTCAATTAAAGTATGGGTTGGACTGGAGGGTCTCTGAATGCCTTTCTATTCTGATATTCTGTGATTTTACTCAACAATATCAAATGAAGAGGAAAGATTTAAATATAAAGCCCATGAAAATACTCCTACATTTAAGTCAAAGAAATCAAAGATAACTTATAAAATCAGTTTCTGCCAAGTACTGAGAGCTGAAGCTAGATTCAAGGAAATTAAGAAAGGAATGGGAATTGAGCAGAGACAATGGACACACAATATATGACGACAATAAAATACATATGCATCAAGCCAGTTAGTCTCAACCCTTTCCCATTGTCCTGAAACATTTAGAAAAGAGCTTCTTGGGTCAAAATTTCAAAGATGCTTTCTCCCTGACTGACTTCCTTAATGACTAATTGTAGTAAATATCCATCTGTTAGTTTTTCATTAACTCACATGGACAAATGGTTCTTGGGGCTTTACTCTCCAGCACCCATGGCATTTCCTCACGTTCCAACTGGGAGATGACATCTGGTTTGGGAATTGAAAGCCCTGCCAAGGGGAAGAAAAGCAAAATGGATATTTATGCTGCTGAGGAAAAAAGATTCATTCCAGAATATAATTCAAGGCTCATTATACTCAGAAAAGAGTTAATATGCTAAGAAGGCCCAGAATAGTTCAAATGATTTCTGAAGAATATTTGGCATTGTGTTTCCATACTAGGATGACAGATCATAGAACTGATTTAGGTTAGAAAGGTACTTATATTATTTGCCCTTTCTGTTAGAAGGCCACAAGTACCCCACCTCCAGAGGCATTTGCATTGGGACCTTGGCAAAAAATCCTAGACACAGGGAAGCAAAGGATAGGAAAATGGCAGTATCAGGAATGGCAGTAAGGTAATGACACTGCCTCATTTTTAGTTCTACAAGGCAAAGACTTAAAAATCTAATAGGCCAAAGGGAATTAAGAATCTCCAGTTTTGAAACTTAAGACAAAACTCAGCTAAATACTTCTCCTATCCCATAATCTTTAGAGAAGTAGGATACAAAACACCCATAAGTAAAGACTCTGCCTCATATGGAGAATTTACCAAGAAAAACCAGATTCCTATAGTTCTCCAGAAGCACTTCCTTGTAGAGGTCTTGATGAACAGGAGCCAGTTGAGCCCACTCTTCCCAAGTGAAGTCTGGATCCACATCTTTGAATGTCACCGATTCCTGAAACATCAAACACATTTGCACTTTCCTAAGACTAGCTCCTTAGTCTTAGGGGAGGTTGATAGTACTTGGAAAATGCATGGAGTATTTAGAGGGTGATGCTAACATTATTCAGGAAACAAAAGAAACCCAAGTCATTTGTTGATTGAAGAACTATATAAATGCTAGGTATTGTTATTATTTCACCATGTGTATCACTTTTTGTCAGACTAGGTAGTAGACTTAAAAGAAGAATGAAATATGGCCTTCACTTTTGATCTAGTTAGATCACCTGGTACAACAATACATACAGTTCTCCTTCACCTTCTTTTCTAATATCTCCTTCCACTGTGCTTATGGAATTTCCAGTCTAAAGGCGGTAAAATGCCACCTCAGGGAAAGCCTGGCTCTCCCTAACTCTACTACTATATCCAGTGCTTTTCTCCTAGAAGAACCTCAATTTCCCTCACTACCTCAGAGAGAATAAGAAAGTCATTCTGCCTTTTTTTCTGTAGCACCAGGTCTCTCTCCATTTGCCTTCATTCTCTGTAAATGCTATAAAGCTGTATTAATCTCTCCAAATTGCTGACATCAAGCTATCACCACAAAAACACATATGTGAGTTTATTAGATTACTTAAGCACGGGGCTCTCCATTTTTCTACTTTACCCCCTTCCTTCTGAGACTTGCATCTTACTTCTACTTTTTAATGTTACTCCAGGAGATGAAGTTTGTTATACTTCAAACTCTGATGCACCTGTGATCTCACTGATTTCACTACTTAACAACAGTGCAGATTGCAAACCATCTACATACCCTTTCTCAATCTCTGTAATTCTTGTCCAAATTCCTACACCCAGGAACTATATGAATCCAATTATAAAATACAATTTGCAGGGATAAAAAAAAAACATAAATAATTGGAGAAATGTTAATTGCTCATAGTAGGCTGAATCAATATCAGAAAATGACAATACTAAATTAATTTATTTATTCAGTGCCATATATCAAAATTTCAAAAAAATCAACTTATAGGGCTGGAAAAAATAATAATGCCATTCATCTGGAGGTACAAAAGATCAAGAAGCTCAAGGGAAGTAATGAGAAAAGTGAGAAGGAGGGAAGATCAGTACCAGATCTCAAGCTATACTACAAAACAAAGTACAAAACAATTTGGTACTAATTAAAATACATATAGGTTGAACAGTGGAACAAATTAGGAATACGACATACAGAAGCACATAAATATAATAGCAGAGTATTTTTAAAAACCCAAAGACCATAATTACTGGGGTGAGGACTCTCTATTTGGAAAAAACTACTAGGAAAACTGGAAAGCAATTTGGCAGAAACTGGGTATAGACCAACATTTTATACTACATACCAAGATAAACTCCAAATAGATTCATGACTTAGACATAAAAGCTGACATCATAAGCAAATTTTAGAGGAGTAAGGAAGAAATCACCTTTCCAATCTATAGAGGAAGAATGACTTAACAAGTGATAGAGAGGATCACAGAAAATGAAATGGACAATTTTGATTATACAAAGTTTAAAAATTTTAGCACAAATATAATAGTTAAAATCAGAAGAAAAACAGATAACTGAGGAAAAATCTGTTAAGTAATTTTCTCTGATAAAGGTCTCATATCCAAGATATATAAGGAATTGACTCAAATTTATAAATCTAAGAGGCACTGCAAAATAAACATTGGGAAGTAACTCTTAGATTATAAACAAATGGTCAAAGGATATGAACAAGGATGTTTAAAAAAGAAATCCAACCTATCAATAACCAGGTAAAAATGTTCCATATCACTAATAGTTAGAAAAATGCAAATTAAAACAACTCTAAAGTTTCACTTCACATCCATAAATTGGCAAAGATGATAAAAGAGAAAAATGATAACCACTAGAAGGGTTGTGAGAAAGCAGGCACACTTTGCCTGTAGAGCTGTGAACTGGTGGAGCCATTCTGGGAAGAAATTTGGAACTACACTCCAAAAGTTATCAAACTGTATTTTAAGTTCATCGAAGTCATTAAAGCATATCAAAGTTATCAAACTGTAATCCAACTATACCACTAGATTCCTACCAGGGCCTCTAGGTCCTCAAGTATGGCCCTTTGACTGAATCCAAACTTCACAGAACAAATCCCCTTAATAAAAGGATTTGTTCTGTAAAACTTGGACTTTGTCAAAAGGCTGCACTCAAGGACCTAGAAGGCCACATATGGCTTCAAGGCCACAGGTTCCCCACCCCTGCACCTAAATAAATTAAGGAGGAAAAAGACCCATATGTAATGAAATATTCATCATAACTCTTTTCACAGCAGTGAAAAACTGCAAACTAGGGGGATGCCCACCAAATTATGGTATATAAAAGTAATAATATTATTTTGCCATGAGAAATGACAAAAAGGACAGTTTCAGAAGAAACTAGGAAGATGTCTGTGATTTGATATAAGTGCAGTGAGATGAACTAGGAGAACAATTTACAAAATAACATTATAGAGAACAATATGAAAGACTTTAGAATTAGATTACTGCAATGATAAAACATAAGTACAGAGGACTGAAAACAAATTATGCACCCACCAACTTGCCAGGGAGGTAACAGACTTAAAATCCAGAATCAGACATGCATATCTGAACATGGCCAGTGTGAGAATTTGTTTTGTGGGATTATGCATACTTACTTGAGGGCTTTTAAAAAATTATTCTATTTGGAGCCTCACTAATATTTAGAAAATATACTGTTATACCTTAATAAACAATGAATATGAAGAATCAAAGAAACTGTCTATACTTGAGGGCAGCTAGGTGGTACAACTGATAAAGCATTGAGTCTGGAGTCAGCAAGACCTGAGTTAAATCTGGCCTCACACAATTTATTTCGGCATGTCACTTAACCTCTATTTGTCTCAGTAAAAATGGGGAAAATAAGAGTACCTATTTTCCAGCACTGCTGTGATTATCAAATGAGATAACATTTGCAAGTGCTTAGTACAGTGCCTGGCACATAGTATATGCTATATAAATGCTAGCTATTATTACACTGAGAATCAAAAATTAGGAAAGAGAAAGGATACACCAACTTACCTGAAATCTCACTACTGGGAACACAGCAGACTTTTCCTTCTCTATGCTTCCCTCTTGGAGAAGAGTAGGATCTTGAGAACTCAGAGCTAGGAAGAAAAAAGGACAGGACTCAGAACAGATGTAGCCTTTGAAAAATTCAGAGGGAATGGCAATATCACTTGGAGCCCTGACTTTGTATCTGTGGTCACAGCAGGTTTCCAAGGACAGAATTTTGTTTAGGAGCTGATTTCACAATTCTGTCTTCAATATGATTTCTTTGCCATAGAATTCTCTATATTTAATGAGAACTCTCAATTGTATAGAATGTGGGATGAACAAATGTGCCAATTTCCTTACATAAAATGGCTTCATAATAAAATTAGTATTTTTTATTGATCAGCCAGAAAATGTAGTCTGTAGGACAGGATGGGAGTTAGGAAATTAGGACCAAAACCATGCTTACTTAATCTAGCTGTATGACACTGAACAAGTCAACTGATCACACTATCCATTAATTTTCTCACATGTAAAACTAGGAATAATTACATCTACCTCATTTACCTATTTACCTCATAAGGTCTTATATATGAAAACATATTGTACCGGAAAAATGTTATTGAGCCCATTGCCCAGTTATTGATTTATGAATGGGTTGCCACAGTTTCCTAGAAAGAACCCTTGTGAGAGTTTTATAGGAAGAAGGAATATTTTTGACTGCCTCTAATATCTATTCCCTCAGAAAAACAGCCCATGAAGAATGCTCTCCCATTCAATGACCACATACTTTGCATAAAGTAAAACTACAAGGAATGCAGTGGGCTGGATGATATAAGACACAGAAACAATATCGGTACTTAAAAGGTTCTCATTCAATGTCTCCAGAGAGTATATAGAATCTCTTTTCTCATCTTGACCAATTCATAGACTTTCTTTCACCTCTGATGTTTCCCTCTTTCATTATTATTTTTCCCAGGGATCCTTTCTCTGGATTTTCTATTCTTCTCATGCCCTGAAGAAACTTTGCTCTCTCCCTCTATCCTTCTGTAGGTCTCACCTTCCTCATCAAGCATTTGGGTCAAATCCTCCACCAGCGTGACGACCTCCTCAATGTTCTCCGGATGCTGTGACTTCACCCAAATCCGGATCTCACTGGGCAAGATGGTCAGGAATTGCTCCAGCACCAGCAGCTCCAGGATCTGCTCCTTTGTGTGAATCTCTGGCCTCAGCCACTGAAGGCAGAGTTCCCAGAGCTGGTTCACAGCCTCACGGGGTCCAGCTTTCTCTGGGTATGGAAAATATCTGAAGTTTTGGCGAGAAGCCTCAGGATTGAATTTCTCTCTTCTTAGAATGGTGATCTGTCCCTTGGGAGCACCTTTTAGTAACCTGTCTTGTTCATTTACATCCAGAATATGGGGAACTAGGGGGATGGACGTCATCTTATTCTGGGCTAACATTTCTCCATCTGGTACTGTAACAGTGGGCTTCAGAGTTGCATTCCCACAGGGAAGTCAATTCCTTTCAGATTCAGGATGGACATCTGCATACATTCATGAGGAGCACTGTGGAAAGAAATATATCACGGTTAGTAAGGGGAACCAATAATCAACAAGCACTTATTAAGTTCCTTCTATGTGCCACATACTGCAGACACAATATAATGAATAAAGCAATTTCTATTTGCATGGAGCTTATATTCTAATGGAGGAGACAAGTACATTATCTAATTATATGGAGAAAAAAATATAAAGAGAATACAAAAGTATGTTAATTACAAAGTAGTATGAGGAGGGCACTAGCAGTTGGAAGGATCAGGAAAGGCTTTGTGTAGAAGGTAGTTCCTGAACTGCATCCTGAAGGAAGATAAGGATTCTTAAGGTTGAGGGGAGAGAGGAATGAATTCCAAGCACTGGGGACAGTTAATGCAAAAGCACAGGGATGGAAATGAATGAATTAAAAAACATTTATCAAGTGCTTACAATGTGTAAAGCACAGTGCTAAGTGCTGGAAATATAAACAGAAGAGTAAAAGAGTTTTCCTCTCAAGGAGCTTACCTTCTAATTGGGGAGGCAACACATATGTTTCAACTGTAAGTTAAATGGAAGAATGCCATGGTCCTTAAGGTACAGTGGCAAAGCAGATGGAAATGTCTCTTTTCAAATTTCATTTGTACTGATAAAAAAAACCTATCAGTTTGTGATGATGAGCTATTTGATGATGTCAAGGATTTTGGTAGGAAGAACGTCCTTTTCTGGGTCTTCAGTAGCTGTGGTTTTAGCACCTGCAGGAACAGTTACCAGGCTGTATCACCAGAATGATGGCTAAGGGCAAAATGATCTGTCATCCCACAGAGAGCTTTGAGGGTGGTCTGGAAGCACATCCAGTGACCCAAGGAAGCCAAAGCTTCTCCCAAAGCTCTTGTATTCAGAGTTCTAGGTTATCTCCATCAGCACAAGGGAAGATGGTGGTGCTTTCTCTAACAGTATGAGAAAAGATGGTGGGTAAGGCATTGGTGGTTTGACCTGACTGGCACATGCTGTCTCCTATCTCTCCCTCAGAGCACATTGTTGCTTCAGCCAGACTGGCCTGTCTGCCTTGTGTTAAGCTAATGACTACCAGTTGGTGGAGATGGCTGGTCTCTTCTCCACAGGAGTTGCTTCTCCAGGTGATGGTCAAAAGGGCAGGACTGCTGGTCTGGAAGGTACTTCCTCCTCTAGGGCTCCTGTGCCCATCTACCCACTGGTGGCATCTGGTCTTCAGCTGTTCCTTTTGGTGATGAGAAAAGTGGGCCCTTCTCTACAATTATTTCTTCCCTCAACGACGGTTGTGGGGGATGGTTTGGAAGCAGGTCTGGTGGCTTGGAGGGCACTGCTATTCCCAAGGTTCTTGTATTTAGGAACCTAGAATGTCTCCATAGGTGTCTGTCTGAGGGGAGATGGTGGTCAAAGTAGTGGTGTTTTGAGTTGGCTGGCACATGGTGCCTCCTGTTTCTATTTCTACCTGCCCCTATAGTAATTGTTGCTTCCAGTGGGAGATGGATTGTCATATGTGAGCAACAGACAGAAAGGCAATTTGGTGGGTTAGAGAGGGAGGGAAAGTGATATACAGTGTTAGTGGAAATACTGGTTTGGGGCAAGTTATGAAGTTCTTCAAAAGCCAAACAGAGTTTACATTTTATTTTAGATTCGAATGTCACTGCAGTCTATCAAGTAGGAGAGTAATACAGTGAGATTTATGCTTAAGGTAAATCACTTTGGCAACAGTATTTAAAATGACATGGACTAGGGAGAGATTTGAAGAAGGGTCAATTAGGACAGGGATTCTTAAGTGGTTTTTTTTGTGTGTTATAGATCGTTTTGGCAGTTTGGTGAAGTCTATGGAGCTCAATTCAGAATAATGTTTTTAACGCATAACACACAAAGGATTACAAAGGAAGCCAATTACACTGAAATTGTTATCATTTTTTTTAAGTTCATGTACCCCAAGTTAAAACTCCCTGTATTAGGGTGATATCTACAGTATCTAATCTAAGGTGCTGTCAGTGTGAGAGGAAAGTAGTCAGTTATGAGACATGTGGGAGTAGAAATGGCAAGATTCAGCAACTGAGTGGATATGTAAGATGAGTTAAATTGACAGGAAGAGACAGACTAACCTCCTGAGGTTATGAATCTGAGACGCTATAATAGTGGTGCTTTCAAAAGAAATAAGGAAGTTTGGGGGGCATATAGGTGGTGCAGTGGATTAGCACACTGGATCTGGAGTCAGGAGGACCTGAGTTCAAATGTGGCCTCAGACACTTGATACTTACTAGCTGTGTGACCCTGGACAAGTTACTGAACCCCACTGCCTATCTAAAAATAAAACAAAACAAAACAAAAAAAACAACAAGGAAGTTTGGAAGGGGTAAGGTTTTTTAAATACAAACTCCTTAGCTTGGCATTTAAAGCCCCTCACAATTTGGCCCCAATCTACCTTTCCACACTCATATATTACTCTTCACCCACTTCACACTCTAAGACCAGCCAGAATACTTGGATGCTTCTCACAGGTGACATTCCACCTTCTATCTTCTTGCCTTTGCACAGGCTGTCCCCCACGCCTGGAATGCATTCCCTTACCTCCTCATCATCCCTCCCATCCGTCAAAACTCAGCTCAGATGCTACCTCCTACATAAGACCCTTTCTGATTCACTTCTCTGCTCCAGATGCTTAGCGCCTCCCCCTGGAAATTGCCTTCCATTTACGTTGTATATATTTTGTACTTATTGATGCTTATGGTTTCCCCTAAGACAAGGTAAGTTCCCTGAGATCAGAGATTTCTTCATGTTTGAGTTTGTTTTAGGTACTCAATAAATGTTGGTTAACTGATTGATAATATATTTTATATTCTCTATTACATTTTACATATCACCAGAACAACTCTTGTGAGGTAAGCAATAGAAATTTATTATATGCATTACACAATTGAAGAAATAAAATTTATAAAGATTATCTGACTAAGAGTTATATAATAACATGTAAGCAGAACCAGGACTGTGACATAGATCTCATGATTCCTAGTCCAATGTTCTTTACACCAAAGGTATCAAACTCACCCAAGTGCTGGAACTAGATTAAAATGTAATTGGGCAATGTTTAACAAAATCTATAAAAATATGATACAAAATAGGTAATGTTAATTTGTGGCTTTCTTGTTTCTATCTGAGTTTGACACTACTGCTTTACACTATACCATGTTGCCTCTATATAAAAATAAACACATATAGACTAACACTAGTCCTGCATCCCAACACACTATCCTAGCTAATAGCTCAAAAAATACATGTCTTAAAGTGGCCTAGCCATTGCAGATCTTAAATTGTATCATAAAGCAGCAATCATCAAAACTACTTAGTACTGACTAAGAAATAGAGTCGTGGATCAGTGGAAGAGGTTAGGTATGTAAGACACAGTAGTCAATGACTGAAGTAATCTACTGTTTGATAAACCCAAAGACGCCTGCTTCTGGGATAAGAACTCACTATTTAACAAAAACTGCTGGGAAAACTGGAAAATAGTATGGCAGAAACTAGGCTGAGACCAAAATCTTACACCATATACCAAAATAAAGTCAAAATGGGTTCATGATTTAGATATAAAGGCTGATACTATAAACAAACTAAAAAAGAGTAAGGAATAGTTCACCTGTCAGATTTATGGAGAACAGAAGAATTTATGACCAAACAGGAGCTAGAGAACATTATGAAATGCAAAACGGATAATTTTGATTATATCAAATTGAAAAGTTTTTGCACCAACAAAGTCAATGCAACCAAGATTATGAGGGAAGCAGAAAACTGGGAAAGAATTTTTACAACCAGTGTCTGATAACAGCCTCATTTCTAAAATATATAGAGAACTAAGTCAAATTTATAAGAATATAAGTCATTCACCAACTGATAAATGGTCAAAGGATATTAACAGGCAGTTTTCAGAGGAAGAAATTAAAGCTATCTATAGTCATGTGAAAAAATGCTCTAAATCATTATTGATTAGAGAAATGCAAATCAAAACAACTCTGAGGTACCACATCACACCTATCAGATTGGCTAATGTGACAAAACAGGAAAATGATAAATGCTGGAGAAGATGTGGAAAAATTGGAACACTAATGCAATGTTGGTGGAGTTGTGAAACGATCCAACCATTTTGGGGAGCAATTTGGAACTATTCCCAAAGGTCTATAAAAATGTGTATACCCTTTGACCCAGCAATAGCACTTCTAGGACTGTATCCCAAAAATATTATAAAAATGGAAAAAAGACCCACATGTACAAAAATACATGTGCACATCTCTTTCTATAGTGGCAAAGAATTGGAAACTGAGGGGGATGCCCATCAATTAGGGAATGGCTGCACAAGTTGTGATATATGAATGTAATGAAATACTATTGTGCTATAAGAAATGATGAGGAAACAGAATTCAGAAAAACCTGGAAAGACTTGTATGAACTAATGCTTGAGTGATGTGGACAGAGCCGGGAGAATGTTGTACACAGTAACAGCCACGTTGTACAATGACTAATATTGATAAACTTAACCCTTCTCCAACAATACAAGGATTTAAGACTTCTCCAAAGGCCTTGTGATGAAAAATGCTATCCACATCCAGAGAAAGAACTATGAAGTTTGAATGCGGGTTGAAGCATACTATTTGCTCTTTTTTTTCTTCTGTTTTGTTTTGTTTCCTCTTTCTTGTGGTCCCTCCTATTGGTTCTAATCCTTCCTCACAACATGGCTAATGTGAAAATATGTTTAATAGGAATGTATATGTAGAGTCTATATCAGATTGCACAATGTCTAGGGGAAGGAGGGGGGAGGTAGGGGGAGAAAAATTTAAAACTTAAAAGCTTATAGAAGTGATTGTTGAAAACTAAAAATAAATTAATTGTTTAAAAAAAGAAAGAAATACATGTTTTGCGTGTGCTGTAAATTCCACAAAGACAGAAACTATATGTTTTTCTTCTTTGGATCTGCCACAGCAGATGTCATAATGCCTTGTACACAATAGGAACTCCAAAAATGTCTGTTGAATAGATGGGGTTGGCAACAGACAAGCCACTCAATACAAGAGACACACACACACACACACACACACACAGACACACACACACACACAAAAAGCAAAGGGATGTTTGAATCAATCTGCAAACACCTACTACACAATCAAATGAACCAATACAAAACATTCTGCTCAATAACTGCACACATGATATAGCGCACATGTTTGAAATTGTTCTTAACAATAATTTAAAAACCCAGTATTAGTGGGGAAGCTGGTGTTTTTTACCAGAAACAAATAAGTTTTTGTGGTTCATAAGTAAAAAGTTCCTTTGAAAAAAATGAAACCACTCTTTTGATTATCATTTTAAGGCCAGTAAATGGTATGGCAATTTTCAATTAGCGTACTAAAATCCATTTCAATTCAATAAGGACTTATTAAGAGCTTATTTTGTGTCAGACAGAAACATCTGGCATGATTAATAGAGCTGGCCTTGGAATAAAAAAAAAATCCCAGGTTCAAGTCTAGACTCTGACACAAACAGGATGGGTAACCAAGGGCAAATCTCCCTTAATCTTCCCTGAGAGGGCCCTAGGTAACTCTCTAAGACCTTAAGTTGAAGAACAATCTGTACTGGTGGATGGGATTTATTCATTGGAAGTTCCCATGACAGAGTGCTGGATTGGAAGTCAGGAAAACCTGAGTTCAAATCCTTCTTCAGACACTAGCTTTCTGAACTTGGGCACTTCACCAAATCTCTCTGGGCCTCAGTTTCCTCATCTGTAATATGACCCTATAACCTCCAAGCCCCTTTCAGCTCTAAATCACAGGCCCAGACCTCTCCTGCTCCCCCCATCCCATGCCAAGCACTATAGATACACACAAAATCCAAGGCATGTTTGAAATTGAGGAGATATTTAAAATCAATTTAAGGCATTCTATATATCCCCCAAAGAAACCATTATTTCAGGTTAATTTCTAGGTCATAAGTCTCCAAGGAAGCACACAAGGCATGGCACACTCCACCTTTGCGCCAAGCAAATCCACTTCCATCAAATTCAACAGTGATAATAAAATCTACCTCCAAATATGGATAGAGTAGAGTCCCCCATCTTTTCTCTCCCTCTTCTCTTTTGACCAGGTGATCAAGAACTACACCTGGGAATCAGGAAGACCTGAGCTCAAATCCTGGTTCAGCCATTTACTAGCTGTGTGATCCTGCGCAAGTCATTTAACTTTTTGCTTCAGTTTCCTCACCTATGAAATGACGATAACCGCACCTACCACAGAGGGGCTGTTCTGGGGGTCAAATGGGATATGTAAAGCGCTTTGCAACCCTGAAAGCACCACAAAAATGCTTATCATTATTACTTTATACCTTCTCTTTTCATCTACCCCCAAGTAGACGGTAGGTGTCTCCCAACACGCTCGAGGAACTTCAGTTCCTCCCACGGCTGCAGCTGCTGGGTCCAAGAATTGCGAAGGTCCTGCGAGGAGCGAGACGCCTGGGTCCCCAAAACCTCTTGCTTGGAGTCCCTCTTACTACACCGGAAGCAAACCCTGAGCCACTTCTGAGGGAACTGTAACAGTCATCACGACTCTGATGCGCGCGCAACCCGCGCAGACACACACACACACACACACACACACACACACACACACACACACACACACACACACACACACACACACTCTCTCTCCCTCTCTCCCTCCCTCTCCCCCTCCCCCCTCTCAAAACTTCGTTTCCCATAGTTCCCCAGGGCACGCACCCTCTCAAGACTACGATTCCCACAGTGCCTTCACGCACTTTTCCTTCCACCTCTCTTCTGAACTACGGCTGACCAGAAAAATTGGGATTTCCGAAATTCAATTTTTAGTTCACCTTCAGCTCCTACATCCCACCCATAATTAGCAATTCTATTTTACCCCCCTAAACCTCAGTTTCTTCACGACGAGCTTGAACTACATGATCTCTAAAGTCTCTTCCTACTGTTAATATGGTAATGAAAGCATTATTATTCCTGTTTTAGAAAGGGAAAAAACTAAGGCTCAGAGAAATGGAGACTTACCAGTGCGTGGCACAATTATTAAGTGTGAAAAGTGGGATGTAAATCCATTTCTTTTTTCCCCCCATTCATTCATCTATCTACATCTTTATTTTTTACATTCATTTTAAAATATATTTTTTATTTCGTTAAATATTTCCCAATTACATGTAAGTTTTTGGACAATCATTTTTTAAAATTCTTAGTTCCGAATTCTCTCTCCCCTCCTTGAGAAGGCAAACAATTTGATATCGATTATATCTTCGAAGTCATGCAAAACATTTCCACATTAGCCATTTTACATTTTTTTAAATTGAGTTCCCAGTTCTCTTCCTCTCTCCCGCTCCTCCCCCACCCATTGGGAAGGCAAGCAATATATCAATTATACATGTGAAGTCATCTATTTCTTATGACCATTTACCACTACAATGTGATGTCTTGGCGATGTTTTCAAAGGGGGACAAAAAAAAATGCTCTAAAGAGATCTGGATATAGAGTATTGATTATTTCCAATAGGGAAATTTTTTTTAAAAGCAAAAAAAATCCTAAGAATTCATTTGCTTTCGGAATACTGAATAAATTGCAGTTGACTCATGATGGAATGTGACTTCACGATTAAAAACGATAGGATAAATATTTTAAGCTATGCACAAATATATGGAAAAACCCAAATCAAACAAAGCTGAATCAGGAGAAACATAAATTGCTATCACTATATTAAAATACTATCTATGTCAAACTTATCATCTTCCCCTACCAAATTCTTCCTTCTTCTTAATTTTCCTATGACTGTGGAGGGCACCACTATCCTCTAAGTCAGGCTCACAGTACAGATGTCATCCTAGATATCTCACCCTCTCCCCAAACTTTCCCAGTACTGCCAATTCTCCCTTTACCACATCTCTTGTATTCACCCCCTTCTCTCCTCCGACACACTTATCATGCTGGTACAGATCTTCATCACTTCACACCTAAACTATGTCAATAGGCTTCTAGTTGGTTTCCCTGTTTCTATCTTTTTTTTGTTATTTATTTCAGTCTGTATCATTGCTGACATTTTCGTAACTTCCCAAATTATGTTTCATTTGTCTCAGAGTTAAGTTTGGAAATTCAGCTTTCCTGTAAACCACTCATTGTTTCTGAGTTAAGTTTAGAAATTCAGTTTTCCTGCTAATCACTGTTCTATTCTTGCCTCAAGGAAATCTATTACTCTTAAAGGATACAGGTGGACATTAGGGAATCTGGTCTGTTATCCAAGGAAGTCTGATCCACTATTGATAAGCTATCCTTCCAGGTAGACTCAAACAATGAACATTCTTAGTGGCAGAATGGAAGGAGGCGTTGTTGCTAGCCCTTTATTCCCAATTTCCAGTCAATTATATTGTTCCTCACACCTAAAAATTGTAACCTATCACAATGCTTTTCCCCATCTATGATGTTGCCTTCTATTCTGGATGCTTCTTGTGGATGCTGTCACTCTTGTTCAGCTTTTTCTGTTCTTGTTTTTCTGTTTCTTGTTAGCTTTTCTGAGGACTCTGAGACTGTGTTTATTGGAAGATGTGTGCCTCATGTTTACCTTAATTTTGGTTGTAACAATATGTAGAGATTTAAGAGAGTAAGTTTCAGCCTTTTGGCCTGAAAAGTTTTGAGCAGAGCTTCTAAGACTAACATTTTATTTATTTATTTTTTCAATCATCAAGTATTTATTAAGCCACAACTATGTGCCAGGCACCAGGATCCAAGTACAAAGAATGAAACAATCATCACTCAAAAGAACCCTGAATTTTTTAAATTAATTTATTTTGAATTATCAACAATCACTTCTCCCCCTCCCTCCCCATCTCCCTTCCCAAGACAGTGAGAAATAGATATAAGCTATATATATATATATATATATATATATATATATATACACATTCCTATTAAACATATTTTCACATTAATGATGTTGTAAGTAAGAATTAGAACCAATGGAGGAACCACCAGAAAGAGGAAACAAAACACAACAGAAGAAAAAAACCCAGCAAATAGTATGTTTTGATCTGCATTCAAACTCCATACTTCTTTCTTCTTTGTGGGTAGCATTTTCCATCACAAGGCCTTTGGAGATGTCTTAGATCCTTGTATTGTTGAGAAGGGTTAAGTTTATCAATATTAGTCATTGCACAACGTGGCTGTTATTGTGTACAACGTTCTCCTGCGTGATTCACTCAGCATCACTTCATACACGTCTTTCCAGGTTTTTCTGAAGTCAGCCTGTTCATCATTGCTTATAGCACAATAGTATTCCATTACATTCATATACCACAACTTGTTCAGCCATTCCCCAATTGATGGGCATCCTCTCAATTTCCAATTCTTTGCCACCACAAAAAGAGCTGCTATAAATATTTTTGTACATGTGGGTCCTTTTCCCATTTGTATGGTCTGTCTGGGGTATAGCCCATTTTACAGCCCTTTGGGCATAGTTCCAAATTGCTCTCCAAAATGGTTGGATAATTTCAGAACTCCACCAACAATGCGTTAGTGTTCCAATTTTCCCATATCTTCTCCAACATTTATCATTTTCCTGTTTTGTAAGACTAACATTTTAGATGGAGTTTCTCCCTCACTGATCTGCTTCTCTGTTCCCTGTAATAACAAATTACCATCTTCTAGTATTTATTCACATGGATAGGATCTTCTTGGAGCATTGACCTCCAAAATACATGGCACTTTCCCATGCTCTGACTCAAAAAAATATCATCTGGTTTAGAAATTGAAAGTCCTGGTTTTGGAAAGGAAAAGCAACATGTATATTTGTGCTGGAGAAAAATTACTCCACAATGCAATCCAATTAGGCTTAGATGGCCACTGAAGTCTCTTCTAGCTCTACACCTATGATCCTATAAGTTTGTGATACCTTTCATATTTATGGAAGAGGGATAGAGACTGGATCTGTGATTTTATTGGTGCAGGGAATTCTCAGATGATGAAACTTCCTATACCTATGCATGTCAGCACCTTCACTGCATATTATCATTATCTTAGAGAGTTGCCTAGGAACCTAAGTTGTGACTTGCTCTCGGAACAGCTCTATGGGACAGAAACAAGGTCTTCCTGAACCAGGTCTTCCTAGCTCTGAGGCTGACTCTCTAGCCACTGTGTTAGGTAAGAGAGAATATGCTAAAAGGTCAAGCAGTCCAAAAGGGTAGTTCAAAGGATTTCTGAAGTGTTCAGTACTGTTTCCCCACCTAATATTAGGAGAATAGGATATAGATTTCATTTAGGCTGAGGAAAATAGGTCACTAGTGGACTACTTTTATTGAAGATATTTCTACTGGAATCTCAGCAGAAAAATCTGGACACAGAAGACAAGGATAAAGAAAGAGTAGTACCAGGAGTAGCAATGGGGGAGTGAAGTTGTTCTATCTTAAGTTCTACTGGGACAAGGAGCTTTCACTTGGGAATACAAGGAAGAAATACCCAGTTAATTGACCCAAATGCATTTAGGACTCTCTTTGGTTTATATACACTAAAACAAAACTTGGCTAAATACTTCATAAGTCTTACAGCCTCAGAAAAATAAAAAACCCACATTTTAAAAAATCTAAAGTAAAGATTTCAAGTCATAAGAAAATTTATGAAGAAAAGCTAAGTTCCTATAGTTCTCCAGAAGCACATCCATGCTGAACAGGTCCTGCTGAACAGGGTCTAATTGTTCATTCTTTCCAGGTGAAAGTCTGAAGTTACATCCCTGAATGTCATGGATTCCTGAAATATCAAACACATATCTACTTGTCTAAGACTAGACAGTTTAAGGCTATGCTACTGTTAACAGTGATGTTGCTAGCACATGAGCAAAGGAATATAGAAAGTGATTCTAATACTGTTCAGGCAAATCATCCAACCATCTCTTTACTGAGAATCTAGCAATTTGTCAGGCATGATGAAATATATAACAGGGGAAGGTGAGATGGTTGCCACTTTTAAGGAATTTGCAGTTTTGTTGCGAATCACTGAACTATGCCATTTGGTACATATGTTTAGTACTGATATTACTTTATTGTCTGTGGAACCTTTTAACAAAATGTTACTGTTTAAATAAATCTATTTTTGCTTTTTGCTTTGTCTGAGATCATGATTGCCACTCTTGCCTTTTTTACTTTGCTGAAGCATAATAGATCCAACTCCAGCCCCTTATTTTAACTCTATGTTTCTTCCTGTTTCAAGCGTATTTCTTGTAAACACAATTTTTGTGTATGGTTGAATTCTAGTTTCTAATCCATTCTGCTGTTGTGTATTTTATTAGTGAGTTCATCCTATTCCTAGTTATTATTGCTAAATATATATCTTTCCATCCTATTCTATTTATCCTTTTCTTTTTAACCATGTCCCCTCCTCAAGTATCTGTTTTAGTTCTGACCATCCTATGAGAGCTATTCCCATCTATTGTGGGTGGATTCTTGTTAGTTTCAATCTTTAATGGAAAAAGCATGGGTTTTAAGAGTCAAAAGGCCCACATCTGAGCTCAACTTCTGACATTTACCACTTATATAATAATAATAATATTTAATATTTGTAAAACACTTACCATGCGCCAGGCATTGTACTAAGCACTTTACAAAATATTATCTATTTGATTGTCACAACAACCCTGGG